TAAAATGTAAAATTGAGATGTTCCAACAATAACTCTACTACAAGAGCTAAATCATCTCCAGTATTATGCTGTCAGTATAGCTATCCTTTTCTTAGAGTTCCTGCAATAAGATGCCATAGATGTATTTACTTCTGCTTTATTCAGGCACGTGTACAAATTAAAGTATTTAAGTCCTTCAAGAATGGCGAAGCTAACATTTTAAAATTTCTTAGTGAGGATTCTTAAAAAATAAAACCCAAGTTAAAAGAAATATATTTATGTTTTAGTCTAACATGGGGGAATAAGCCTCATTAACAAATCCAACAGCAGTCAGTGTTATCATCCAGGAGTCTAATCTCCTCTAACCCCCTTGTGAAGAAACTGAAAAAGACCTGCTATTGCAATTTAGGCTTATATCCCGATTTGATAAAATCTGTAAAAAAGCTTTGCCTTCTTCACAAACGATCCGCTCTATTCCAGTCCTGTTCACAACAGCATCCTTATCTGTCACTTCACAGCCTTCATTTATCTTTCATTCCATTCCCTCTTTTACTGCCAGCCTCACATAACTGCTTAAGACTGCTATTTCTGACACAAAAAGCTCTACCCTTTTCTCTTGCTCCATAGCCAGATTATCCATAGTCCACTTATTCACCACTTTCTCATATACCTTTCAAATGCCATGTGCTCAAACTTCCTCCTATTTATTAGCTCATATTTAAAAGCAGCAATATAACAGAACAGGATGTTGCCATTACAAGCGTCGGGCAAATGCCTTCTTAGATACCAATTTTACCCTTTTACCTATTAAAAAACAAAAAGAAAAAAGCAGACGTGGCTAAGGAAAGAAAACCTATTTGCAAAACCCACCTATGTTAATTAAACACAAGAAATCTCTATGGAAACCTGATTTTGGAATAACTGTATGCTCGATTATATGGAAAGCTTTAAAATGAAAGCATTGCACACTGATGACATTAAAGTCTTTCAGACACTCCTTGATGTAGGTTCATCTACATCATATAGCTCTCAGGGCTATAGGGTGAATGCACCCTATCATTTGCACAGGAAGAAATACAGTCTTTCTTACAACTTGACATTATGAACTCTGAAATTGTAATCACAGTAAAACTGAGATTGCGACTACACTTTTGTTCTTACATTATCTGCTCTTAGCATTTTTCTATTATGTTCTGGTGAGAGCAAGATGATGAACTGTAGCTGTATGATCACATGTGATTTTCCAACTGTTGACAGTTTCTTCTGTGTTTTCTCATCACCTGTTAGTTGAATTTTCATGTTGCCTAAAATAGGAAGTTTCAAGGTGTTTCTCAAGCATCTTCTAATACATCACAAGAAAGTTTTGTTTAAGACCAAGACATACTATTTCTTAGAGGCAGGTGTGAGACCTGGGTTGATCAAATGACCACTGGTCTATATCGGTCTATCAATTTAGTTTGCCCATTCTGGGTTCCTACTAAGCCAACAGCCACTAATGTTTTCCTGGTTTTCTCTGGGAGTTATGACTGACTTTTCCTGCCAGCTTGCTGTTGCTGAAAGGTTCTTCGCATTATCAGTTCTACCTGGCATAGAATAGTTTGCAATATGTGTTTTAGTCTTCTGGAAAGTACTGTTTGATATTGGAAAACCAAATAGATATTTAACTGCAGCAATACAAATAGCATCAGTGTAATTTCTCTTGAAAGAAATTGCTCTGTTTTCTTCTCTCGTTTTTCAGTAAAAACCTTTCATTGTTGATGCTGCTGTCAATCTTATCTAGTGACCTATTTACCTAAAGCACAGAATTACAGAACAGAATCTTATCACAAGCACAGAGACGGTTTTGACACTAACGATACTGAAGATTTCATGGACTTGGATTCTGCATTCCATGGTCAGAATGGTTACCTTTCCTTTGTGTAAAAAGTCAACAAGCCACCTCAGAGATTTTGCAAATGAATTTGTCATAGCAATTATAGGAAAGATGCTATATGAACACTAATATCACCATGCACTGCTACATTAAAGAATCAGAAAAAGACCTTTAACACTCTGCTTTGAACACCTAGGAAATCAAAACACTGTCTGGAAAGAAACATTCTTTGACTTTCAATGAATCAGCACTGTCTGAAATGTGCAGCCGACCTTTGAGAGGGAGGAAAAGCCCTCAAACCAAAGCAAGTAACTTACAATTATTTGCAATTGGAAGCTCAAAGGGCTCAGTCAGGCAACATGGGCACGTATTCACGCTAACACAGTACAGAAACAGTCAGCCCCACAGGGAATCCTGCTCACCCCCAACAAATTCTAATATGGGAAGAATCCTAAATCATTAGGAAAGTGCTTGGTCTGGCTGCTCCGGTTAAGACGAATGACCCACTCTATTTCTCCAAATATTTCTAAAAAAAAAAAAAAAAAAAAATGGCAGGGAACAGGTGGCAATTGTAGAAAGCCATCACATAGAAAACACTCCTGAAAATGCTAAGGTGCTAGCAGAGACAAAAGTGGAGATAACCAGATGGCCTAAAAATCCTGGGGGTCACAACATCCACACCCCTGTGGATAAGGCCACCCAATTATGCTTGGATAACACTTCTCAGGATGGGAAAAAAAGAAATCTTATTTGCTATTTTAAAACCCAAATACTACACTTGTTGAGTTCCATTCCTCGCCGTCTGGGGGGCTTTTACAATTTTCATGAGGTTTATTTTGTTCCAGCTAGTTGCAGCGGAATAAGATTCTTGGATCTTATTGGTCCCTGGATCAGCCCTGGCTTTAAACTTAAAAACTTAATGTTTTTATAATAAGATAGTTACCACATTCACTGTATAACCATAAAACAGCATATTTTTTCCTTTGCAACCATCAGAATATTTGAAAGAAATTGCAAGCTTCCAGCATTAACAAATTTACTTATTAAAGACACAAAATACATGAATGGACACAAAGTATGTCTGAATATAACTGTCATCAAGCACTAAATAGTATCCTAAATGTACAGTTACTACACATAACATCCGGTGCCAATATCATTGCATAATCCCCCCAGCATACTCAGTCAAATAATTTTAAGATCTTTTTAAGACTCTTTTTTGATAATATCGATTTAGAATGTAGCATTTGCCAGCAGATATTAGGACGCAGGAGAACATCTACTCGAGCCCTGTTGAATTCGCAGTGTTTTTTATCATCATCTTGCTGTTTAGAGATTCTACTGTCAGTGTTAACTCCTAATTATAGCCATACTCATGGCTGAAGAAAATGCTAACTTAGAAGGCAGAGATGATAGCAACTGCAGTAATCAGAGACCCCACTTTGACTACTCAGAACGTAGTGCCCTCAAACACCTCTAGTTAGATATATCCACATATCTTACAATAGTCTGAGATTCTCAAGGTGATCCAGTGTTTTTCGCTATGCCCTCCACAAAAAGGAAGGACATGTATGACTGCATCCCCTCTGATTGTTCCAGGCATCTAAAGCATAAGTTACAATCTCATATTTAATGACCTACCTCTAGTTTACATTCTTTAGAAAATACATATTTTTAACTTGCTACTTGTCTGAGATCTCAAGTACTAGAGTTCAAGCTTGGCTTCGTAACAAGCTTCAGTATCTAATCTTGATACCATTTTTAAATGAAAAAGAAAAGAAGAGCCCATCATTTTGGGGATTATCAGAACTTCAGAGAGTCAATCTGTAGTTGAAAGACTTGAAAGTCACTTAGAAGATTCAGAAGATAAGCTACGTTATAAATTATGGGTTAACACAAAAACACTGGTAACACTTGCTGAGTGTTGACAAATTTACAGAAGGAGACATCTGAGTGAAGACAAAAAAAAAAAAAAAAAGAGAAATGAGAAATTTCTGAGAAATAAGATTAATGTAATCCACCATGCACTTGAAACTTCAAATACTTAAACCCAAATCTTTAAGTTCTGAATGCAACACACACAAACAGAACAGAAAAATTAAGCAGTGAGAGGACAGAATCTTCTCTGTCTACCCTGAATAACAACTTTAGTGCTTCAACTTCTGCGGCAGCTGTCAGACACTATCCCTTGGGCACCCCGCTAGAGAGCACACAGGAAACTACAGGCTCAAAAACCACCAAGATTCATGTTACAGCTTGCACGCTGGGCAGTTTGGGGGGACTTCACTCTGTGCGAATTCCAACCCCAAGGAAAAAATCACTTTTTACACAGAGCAGCACCAAAGACTTGGGGAGCTTCACAGCCAACAGGAAAACAAGACAAATGGCAGTGCACTGCAATCTAATCCCAGCCACCAGTGACCAGGTTTTGGTCCTCGTGGTTTACGAAATCCAGTCTGACGTAAAAGCAATTTGAGATGGAGCAGGGCATGCCAGGTCAGTGGGTTTGCAGCACAAGGGAAGCAGGAGGCAGTCAGACTAGCACAAACACAGTGAAGCTCCTCAGAGGTTCCCACAACTCAAATACAGCTGCCAAGTGAAACACAGAACACTGAACCTGCTACCTCCAAGGCCACTCCACCTATGTTGTTCTTTCTTCTTGCAAAGACTTTGTTTTCACAGCATTCTTATGTTCATATTTGAGCTTTTCACCACCTCTCAAACATCACCGTTTCCTCATTCCTCCTTTTTAATCCTTCCTTCATGGCCTCACTATGACTCCTTTCCTGAGCTTTCAAGACTTACCTTGTTGCCTTCCCCCAGGTATTTCCCATTAAGTACATTCCCATTACCCCACATTTTCCCTCTTTATTCATTAACCTCCCCTTTATTCATTAATCTCTCAAGAAAAAATTTAAAGCCCAGTTATAAAATCCAGTTCTCACACACTAAAATATAAGTGCCACAGCAGTCACACCTTATTTACAAACATTTTGCACCATATTGTAATGGGCATTTGCAGGACACCCCCGCATATCACTCCAAACCTTTCTGCACTTTAAACAGAGAGAGATTACCCATCTCTCTGGAAATGTGTGCTTGCTGATCACTTGGAATTTTGTATTCAAAACAGAAGCATCGCTCTTACCGGCAAGAGCTGCCCCAGAGTGTGGAGGGTGAGTTTCTTGGGGTCGGTGTAGAGGATCTCACCGAGCTCCTGGTAGGGTTTCCCACTGCCAGTGAAGTGTCCCTGGGCGAGCTGCTGCTGCCGGCGGCGGTAGTTGGCCCAGAAAGCCTCTTCTCGTGAGGGTTCGCTGCTCTTATAAACCACTTGGCTTCGGGCTAGGACCTTCCCCTCTCTCTGCTCCAGGGCAGGCAAAGGCTGGATGCGCACGAAGTCCCGGGGGTTCAGCGCTCTGGTCGCCGTGGACACCTTGACTCTGCCACTCTTGGAGGCATCCGGCACTGGCATAGCGCCTAACAGGAGCCACCAGGTTTTTGCTTCTTGTGTTATTTTAAAAAAAAAAAAAGGTCTCCCAGGCCTCAGCCCAGGTGGTGGCTGCCCTAACCCTGGAGCTGGCCTCCCTTGTCACATCCCACAGCACAACCCAGCACCACAGACTGGGACTTACGTCGAGTTTGGTCTCATCCCCCAGAATGCCTCAAAAAGCAAGATGGAACCTGAGAAGAATGGAAGCTTCCAGAGCTCCGGGGAACGCCAAGCGCCTCCCTCTGAAGCGCTTCATTTGAAACACACTTTCTTCACACTCGTTTCTAGCTCCAGCTCCGCGATCGGAGGCGGCAACGCTGTGGAGAAGGGGGGAAACCGGAGCGCCGGGTGTCGCGGTACCGCCGGGGCCGATAGTGACCCGTGTTTCCGCGAACACCTCGATGTTTCAGTCACAGTGTCAGTATTTCACCCAGCTCTCGGCCTCCGGCTGGCTCCAGAGGAAGCACCTCAGGTTGCCCTGCAGACCCTGCTGGCAGGAGCTGGGGACGAGGGGGCTTTGAAATTAATACGTGGTCTTTTCTGGCCTAAATTCCCTGTAGCATCAGCAGCAGTCACACGCTCACGTGTGTTTCCAGCAGATTTTCTTGTTTTCCTCTTTTATCTTGCCAAAATCAGTGCTAAGCAAGCGCCTGCCACAGGTTCCCCAAAGGGAGTCATTTACCTGCATCCTGCCGGTCTTGTGCCCTTTCCTTCCCTCCCCACTGCCTCCCTTCTATTCCTGCAAAAACATCCCCAAAAGGCACAATATCCATCTGTCATTGGCGGGCGGACGGTGTATTTACATGACACATTAAAGGCGCTTGGCTGGCAATTTAACTGCCCCCAATGCACTGGTGCTGCCCCAAACCCGAAGATGCCCCTTGGAATTCAGCCTTCCCACTGAAAGGAAACATTCCCACAGCCAGCACAAGAGACCACAACGAGAAGCATCACCGTTTGGTGATGATAGCACTCCAAATACTTGCTTCTGCCATACCTAGGTGCACAAGTGTGTTTTCTGATAAAACACTCAAAAGGCTGGGATTTTGATTCCCTGGGTTGAATAGAAATATCTGCGAGTCAATCACCAGGTGAAAGCCTGAAGTGGATTTCTGAAGCTGCCTTAATGCCTAAAATGCGGTTCTGCATCCACACGGCGGGCTTTTTGCGCCAGGAAGTGGAGCTTGATTAGTCTCAGTGATTTGTTTGCTCTTGAACAAACCTCTGCTCGCAAACCCCCAGGAGCTCCGGAGCTGCTCTCCCCTCTGACACACGTTCTGCTTATTTTTTCCTCGCGTTCAAGGACCAGATCATATGCAACTGCATGTGCTTTGAATTGGTGGTGAATTTTACAAATCTGTGTTTTCTTGTTATTTGAATAACCTTGTTATTAAACTCGTTTTGCATTCGTGACCATTTCGTGTTCATTTCATTGCAACGGCAATGCCCAGAGCGCACACGTGTTGTAGGCCGACATATAAGCTGTACTATCCACAGTGTAAATTCCTCCTTTTCCTCGACTACCTGCCGAGATGATGCCTAAATCCTTTATTCTGGTCACTCCTTCCAGGGGGTCAAATGTCCACATGGCTTTCAAGGCACATTGCAAGAGCTGACAGGGTTGTGACCTGCTGAGAAGAGAGGCCTTGAAAGTGCAAGAGCTGGAAGCCCCCAGCTGGGACACTTCACCACCAGTGCCCTTATTTATTTTATTTAACTTGAGTCAATTTAGATACTTCAGCTGATTTTCGCTGCTGAGGATCAGAATGAGTCAGCAACACCCTTCACAGGCACCCACATATTGTAAACTTGGATGCTATAAATGCTTTTGAGTTGTGCCTAAAACATACTCTCCTCTTGGACGCTTCCCAGTGAGTCACTGACTCCAGAGAGGAAAAAGGAAACCTCTCCAGGGAGAAGGCTGTTTCAAGGGGAACAACCCCAACACTCAGAGGGTGACAGAAGCAGGTCTCTGGTTCCAGTCAATAACAGCTCCACTTTCCTTAGGCTGTTTGCAAGTCATTTCCCAAAAAACTTTGTCACCCGGCAGCCCATCCAGTTAACTTTTTTAGTGTTGAGGAGTTCTTTGCGGAGCTGGCAGGGAATAATAAACCAACTGATTCGGAAGATGTGCAAGCCGCCCGCCCAGCGCTCTTCCTGGCTCAGGTTGTAGCATTTCCATATAAATAGGCTCCCTCAAAGACAAGGGAGAATATATTATTCCGAAACAAACCAAAAAAAGATGAATATGCGATTTTACATTTTTGGAGACAGCACATACAAACATTTTCATTGTGCAGCCCATGAAGGATCCTGGATAAAATGTTCTGACTTGATCAGCTCGAGTTATCCAGATGTCAGATTTTTTCACTACTTTTGTTTTGACTCTTGCAGATACATTTCTCTTCCACTCTGTTCATTGTCTGGTCACATTTTTCAAGAAATATTCCAAGAAAGACAGGTATGAATTTATTTCTTTTCTCCTTCCATGTAATTTTTCCATCCAGCTTACAATTTTTGGTGGCAATTTAACAGCTTTTACAAATTACATTCCTATCTTTTTCTCAGTTATTATTGTAGAGGAGAAAGTCACGCTTTTTTTCACTGTGATTTTCAGAATTCTGCTGTCACTGTGATTACCTTTTTTTTTTTTGTCCTTAGCTTTTATTTTCTTATCCCTCAAGGGCAGCCTTGGAAATTCAAAGTTGTTTTCTGACTATCAGATGATCTGGTATTCTCTTTTGTTTGGCAGTTTTGCAGAAACTGTCTCTCTCTCCCTTCAATCCTTCCACCTAAATGACACCCTTTTCTCAGTAAATTACCCTTTGTCTTTCAAAGCAATATCCCCACTGGTGACATTTGGAACGAGTAGTAGTTGCATCCCAATGTATACCTTCAGGAACATCAGCCAACAGCCCAATACAAACTAACTGGTGCAGAAAATCACAGATTTGCATATTTGGGCTTTACTTCCCCCCAAAGAACCAGACTGCGTGCTGAGTTTTGAAAGTTATAGTTGCAAAGTTTCTTGCAACTGGTTTCTTGGCTTCTTGGAAGGGCTCTGGTCACCAAGATGCCCGTCTCAAAGCCCCACGATCACTGGATCATGCTGACATCCCTGAGCGCACAGAAAGACAAGAAGGACCTTTCTTCAACCAGCCTTCTTGGAGGGAAAAAAAGGGAGAAAAAGCCTAGAAATAATGGAACAGAAATAAGGGAAACCGTTCCATCAGGTGCCTCCTCTGCAGTTATCCAGGGCTTTCTGTTCTTCACGGAATGTGCCTGAAAAACAGCTTCACAACACAAGCCTGGGTGATTCGGGCTGCAGAGAAAGCATCGATTTTGCAGACATTGCCTGGCAATGAGGGCAGGGATCGATCCTGGCGGCGATGCCCGTGACCTCGGTAACAGCACAAGGATCTGCTGCGTGGCACCGCGTGCTGGCGGGGACACCCACAGCGGGGGAGTCCCGTTTCACCAGGGAGAGGAGCAGGAGGCAGGGCTTTGAGGAGGACCTTGTTGTTTCATGACTGGATCAGAGGAAATCACAGATCAGGTTAAAATGCAGCAAAAACTCAGTAATGATTTACTTCTAGGCTGCAGAGAGGGAAGATATAACCCCGCAGAACAGGCAAAGTAGGAGAGAGTGACGCAAATACAGAGCAAACGCCATCGCTGCTCGCCTGGTCCTGCACCAAGCCATGCTTAACTGGCTGCTTTTTCAGGCCCAGACACAAATATAGACGCAGACGTGTCCTGCGTGGCCTCGGATACGTGTGGCTACGCCCGGAGGGAAGAGGGTGGCCACGGCGAAGCACGGGACGGGCGACAAGAGCTGCCCCCAGCCCCGCGGGCCGCGTGAACCGAGCAGATTGGAAAGCTTTGTGCGGGTTGTCAGGATTCAGCCCCTGGCTGCTGCTGCCTGGGACTTTCCTCTTGCAATTGTTCACCTTCTGTCCTCCTTCCCAGCGCCAGACAAGCCAAACATTATTTCACAATCCCGGCATCTGGCGCGCGGCGCTCAGCAAGCCTCGGAGCCTGTCACCGGCGAGATAAACGAGCACGTTTCAGTGGCCAACTTCATAAAAGTATATGAAAAGTACTTAACAAAAGGGTATTTCACAAAGCCGGCAATGTAAATGCAACCTCCAAGATAACTAATTAACTGAAGCAGCTATAAAGAGGGGAAGCGGCTTCCCATCTGTGGAAATAGATGTTATTTTACAGAGGCTCTAATTAGCTGTGCCGGGTTCCGCAGTCTTTATTTCATTTCATCAGGCAAACGACCGCACACTCCACGCTGCCAGCCTCACAAATAGCAATTCCTTGGAGGGGAGAGGGAGGGAGGACGCGGCCGGGGGGGCCGGGGGAGTTCGTCTGGTTGCCAGAGGCTCACAGGAGGCCCCGGGAAGCGGGGAGCCCCC